CAAAAAGTTTTCATAAAAGAGCACACCAAACCGATATTTAAGCATAATAATATTCTAGCTATACAAAATCTCTATACATACCACAGGGCACAGTTACCTCGAGCTCTATAAGATAATGAAATTCCGGGCTCCAATATCCTTACATGAGTTTTAATACTTTCAACACTACTATATAACAAATAATTTGAGATCATGAATACGATGTAGTTACATTGAAACGTCGAGTAATCTCCTTTCCCTAATAAGAGCATTTTTACTTGTCGCAACAACCGGGATAAAGATAATTTTACCCAGAATACATGAGGGTTACACATGTTCCTCGAGGAAACCCTGCCTTCTAATCTGTCAGGCAGACCCACCTGACAATCACAATACTAGATCAACCAAAATTTTTAACATTTAACCCCAAAATTCAGAATGACTGACTTTACTACTAATGTAATGTGCTTGCGAGGTAAGCTAAAACGTGCGCTATTAACGAATCAACATAATCACGCCCTGCTTGATTGGACTGTCAAAGATTTTGACTGCGCAAATCTTATTTCCCAAACATTATAACTGGCTGGTCACACACATCTCAATTAAAATTACCCTAGGCTACTGTTTTCCAAGTCTTGTCCTGTGAGTAAAGTATGTGTGAGGTGTGAGAAAGTTTTAATAAAATTATTGTATATTTACTTTTGAATTTTTAAAATCTAATTTGAGAATGAAGTTTAAAGAAATCTTAATTAGCACTGTATGGTTTAAGATATTTATGGACACCTTTTTTTTTAAGTGTGGTGAAAATGACTTTGAGTGCCATGACACTTTTGACAGTGAAAGTGAAATGACTAGTAACTAAAAAGTGTAGCACAGAAATGCCTTAAATCTTAACTGCCCCTGTAAGGAAAATCCTTCGGTTAGTTAATGTGTCATAATATAGTACCAAGGCCGTGCCAGTTTTCAGCATTTTTTGACTATAATGTTTGAAACTACCATAAAAACCTGAATTTTGCGACTTTTCTGTTCAAAATTCAGATTATGTCTCAGAATTATTCAAAGAATATTTGGATTTTGGTAGGAATACTTGAACTGTGCTCAAAATAAGCAAAAAGTCATTTGTTTGGTAAAATTTCTAGTTTGGTTGAAGGGGTTGTACAAGGCCCATACTTTTGATCAGCTTGTGAATGAACTGTAACAACTTTCAAGAAAAGTTGGTCTGTAATAATGTAAACTAAGAAAAACCTATTGTGTGCCTGTATTCAGTAAAAATTCTCTTACAAAATTACAATCGAGTTTTTTTACATTGCAGTAGCTAGACAGCAACAAATTAGAACGTTTTTCATTCATACTGTCGAAATTAAGTCTGCTCAACAGCATTCTGTTCGAAAATCAAATTAAGAGTGTGTCAGTTTTCAGTAAAAAGTCATTTTTAGGTCAAATTCATTACGATTAAAAATTCAAAAGAAATGACTCTTTGCTGAATATTGGCACTATACAATTGATGTCTGACAGCATAAGCAAGATGATTCTTTACAAAATCTAACGATATTGTGTGTTCTAATTCAGCAAAAAGTCACTTTATAAATAATATTTTTAGCTTAAAATCTTCATAGAAATGACTTTTTGCTGATTATTGGCACGATAAAGTAGATTTCTGACAACAATATCATGTTCATCATGGAAATTTGGTACATACTATTGATGTTTGAAGTTCATTGTGCCAGTTTTAAGTCAGTTATAGCAGGTTATCACAACACTGCTTACAAAGCACAAATTTTATGTGATTTACCATTGGTATATGCCTAGAAAAAGAAGTCATTTTAAGCTGAATAATGGCACACAGTGCAACAAAATTGTACCACATTAAACAAAAAAGGCACACCGCTCCCTCAAACAATATTCTGAACTAAAAAGAGTGCCATTTAGCAGTAAGAATGACTATTTCTGTCAAATAAGTCACTTTTTACTGATTTTCAGGACACATATGCTGTTTCAATTTTCAGGATATAACTACACTAAGATTCGTATCTGCACCATAAATAATTCGGTGCTTTAAGGTGATTGATAATGCTGATATTGACTTACAATAGTTGGTAATTCCCACGTTGGTTGCAACAGTCACTACAGCTGATTAGTGGCACTCTAATATTTTAATCTGTTTTTGACCCCTTTATGAACACATTACTGTTCGAAATAAATGCTTAAACTAACAGTAACACTAGTGCACCCATGGATCAAGAAATAGCCAATTTTTGTCTTTTTACATCATTTATCTATATGACTGATATGCTGAATTTGGGCACTCGGGACATAATTGAGTGTAAGCAGTACAGAGTTCAAGCCTTCTTTTAACTGATTAATGGCACCTTCAATCTAAAAGTCAATAAGGTGACTGAAAAAGAGAACTGAAATTTCGATACTTATTTCATCAATTAAAAAAAGATAAATTTCAAGCTGATACATGTGTGACTTTTTGCTGATGGCTCGCACATAGACATGTAAGAATAAGTTTAAAGACACAACCAAACATTATCTTATCCAGAAAATAGCACAGTCACGCCTTGATCTTTTTAATATTTTGACAAGAACCATCAATAGAGCAGTCGTATTCAGATATAAAAATGACTTTTTGATGGATTCTGTCACTTACTGGAATTGCTAATAATGACTAAAATGCTGAAAACAGTTACTCACTCCAATCTACTAGTGTTATGTGAACAATATTTGAGCAAAATATGGCGAAATCAATGGAATTAGTCAATTGGAGGTTAAAATGGTTTGCTGATTTTTGGCACTCAGTTTAATTGCTCATAAGTCATATTCTGCTTGAGCCTGGCACTTCGTTTTTTCAAATCACAACTGCTGAATATTTTCACTTCATCCTATGTACAAATGTATGGTTGCACTTTAAAAAGCATTGCGACTTTTTCCTCATTTTGTGCACTCTACTTTGAAAAAGGTGAAATCAGCAACTCACCACACTTAAAAAAAAACGTGTCCTTATAGCTTATTATAACCATTGATACAAAGGCCATAATCTTTCGCCAGCTCTCCAATATCCACCTTGAAAGCTTGAAGCTGCATTTTATATCCTTGAACTACACAATATAAACTAAAGAATGTTTTAGTGTAGACTTTTTGTCACAACAAGACTGTAACCTATAATAACAACTATAAAAGTATAAACAGAACCCCTAATGTCTGCTTACAATTTTTCTTCTAGTCCTAATCTGAGCCTTGTCTCTATAAACTTAACTGAACTAGCGTTTCGGTGTGTGCAAAAGCTTCCAGGCACGCGCATTCCTTGCCCCGTTAGTTACCTGTCCTTCCAAAACCAAACTAGCAGTCAAGGACAAAAAGTCATACACCAATTATGAATTGTTTTACATCTTTTTATTCTGTAAAAATGTGCTAAAATTAAATTTCTTGTTTCATTGAATTTCTTGTTTCATTGATCCGTGCCCTTTAACCAATGTTGTATCATAATTGTTAGATTGATCTAATCTACTATATTTCAGACCAAGGAATGATAGTTAGACAACTGCAGTTAACTAAGTCACACAAAATGTGACATTTGAACCATTATAGTGCCTAACAACAATAGATTTTCTATCTGAGCAGTGCATATGGGAGTATGGGTTACGTGGCTATAATGTTCAGAACTTCTGAACGTGCTAGGTTAATATATGTCAAAATTAAGCCACTATCGTCGAAAACGCTATCATTTTTGTTTACCAATATCCTCAAACTCAAATGAACGTGTCCATATACATTGTTTGTAGTATATTATTTGTAATTGTAGCGAGTTATCGGATGTTTTATCTTTGAGCGAGGCTATCTTTATAGGAGTAGTCAAGAAGCTTGAGTTTTGGTGCTATGACGTGCTCCAGATTTTAGAAGATCTAAATATAAAATCTTTTAATATAATGGGAATTGAGCAGTGAGATTGGTTTCCTTTCTACATGATAACTCATATTGCTGGTGCAGTGATGTTAGGCATCTGAGTTTGGGTATTTTAAGGAGCACTCTCTTTGGGAGACCACTGTCCAATTATGCTTTCAAATGATATTATGTTAAAACAAGCTGCGGGGAAGGTTTTGATAGTCAGCTTAAATAAATTGCGACTACATAAAATCACTGAGACAAGAACAACCATAAATAAGGAATGACAACAAATAATTTGAGTGTTCACTAACATTTACATTATTTATATTGCTGTCAATCGATATTATTACGTAAGCCACCTAATTTTACATACCAGCAAATTCATGGAAAAAACGACACTTCAAACCTCAAAAATATGATTAACAATCGAAACCAGAAACAGCTGCTTATAATGAAGTTGCACTGCTGAAAGATGTATGAAACAGCGATAGTGAAAAATCGTGATTGATAGAAGCTGGAGTAGAGTTGAATGGTGAAGGTTTTCTAAGTGTACGTATATGTACCTTGTTTTTGATGAAGCTTTAGTGGGACACGAATGGATGGAGACATCCTGATCCGGTAGATTTCCACAAAATGGTCAACCCAACAAAAACTCGGCAGTAAACCTGAAATTGTTAACGAAAGCACAAATTGACCATTGGCGATGAACTTTAAGTTTTAATCACTCGAAATTAGCATGCTATACCTTTGATCATGAATCACAGACTTTTAATCGAGTAAATAGTGTAGTCAAATATGAAGTATAGAATAACTGAATAAGGTGTTATTAAGGCTAGACGTTAACTAAGCTTGAAGCAAACTACTGAGGATATAGAACCAGCGCAGCACTCCTGACAAAACCAATTTTGCAATTTATCCAATGCGAAAATACGTATTAACAGTTAAATGAAAAAAGTTTGGGCGAGCGATTTAGTGAGCGCGTAATGGTCTGGCCCGGCGCGCGCTACTTCGTAGCACGTGCCAACACTTCGAGAAGAAAGCGGCGCGCGCTAATTCGGAGAAATTTAGACGAGTAACATCCGTCACGTTTTTTAAATTTGTGCGACCAGAAATTTATACTAACTGAAACTGTCTTTGTTATTATTTCAGTGCGAACCAGCGCTCACACTCTCACAGAAAATCTTACATCACAGTTGACAGGATAATAATCTTAGTTATTAATTCTATCAACATTCTCTAATAAAGCGATGATTAAGAAATCCGCTTATTCTGATCTAAAATACCCAAATGATACAGAAATCATGCTTCGTCACGTTTCTCCCAAAAAATCACATACTTTAAATTAAAATAAACACATATTGGTTTCTAACTAAAGCGTCCTCTCATTTCTGAAGCCAGAAGCGTTAAGTTTAGTAGCAGGTCTGAAGCCATGGGTAGCCGATGCTGACGTCACAGTTGGTCGTGATGACGTCATCAAGGGAGTATGAGCTATGTTGTTGAACAAGGCGGCGGTCTCTTCTTTTATCACTTGAACGTTGAGAAGTGTAACGTGTTGAGACAGCCTGTGTGTTACCTGTAATATAGTACAACGTCAGTGTAGTATTCTCAGTATGTTCCAACTTCCACTAAGGATGTCAATTATCATGTCGAAAAAGTGGATAAAACAATTATACTTCGAAGTTTTCTCCGGAATTTTTTTGAAAGGTCACACGAATGAGCTTAAAATTATGTCTATTACCACCGCAACATTCCATTAAATATCTTACCTCAGCTAGAACAGTCTGCTATAGATATCTTACCTCAGCTAGAACAGTCTGCTCCATTAAATATCGTACCTCAGCTAGAACAGTCTGCTCCATTAAATATCTTACCTCAGCTAGAACAGTCTGCTCCATTAAATATCTTACCTCAGCTAGAACATAGAACAGTTTGCTCTATTACCACCGCAACATTCCATTAAATATCTTACCTCAGCTAGAACAGTCTGCTATAGATATCTTACCTCAGCTAGAACAGTCTGCTCCATTGAATATCTTACCTCAGCTAGAACAGTCTGCTCCATTAAATATCTTACCTCAGCTAGAACAGTCTGCTCCATTAAATATCTTACCTCAGCTAGAACAGTTTGCTCCATTGAATATTTTACCTCAGCTAGAACAGTCTGCTCCATTAAATATCTTACCTCAGCTAGAACAGTCTGCTCCATTAAATATCTTACCTCAGCTAGAACAGTCTGCTCCATTAAATATCTTACCTCAGCTAGAACAGTTTGCTCCATTGAATATCTCACCTCAGCTAGAACAGTTTGCTCCATTGAATATCTCACCTCAGCTAGAACAGTTTGCTCCATTAAATATCTTACCTCAGCTAGAACAGTCTGCTCCATTAAATATCTCACCTCAGCTAGAACAGTTTGCTCCATTAAATATCTCACCTCAGCTAGAACAGTCTGCTCCATTAAATATCTCACCTCAGCTAGAACAGTTTGCTCCATTAAATATCTTACCTCAGCTAGAACAGTTTGCTCCATTAAATATCTCACCTCAGCTAGAACAGTTTGCTCCATTAAATATCTTACCTCAGCTAGAACAGTATGCTCCATTAAATATCGTACCTCAGCTAGAACAGTTTGCTCCATTAAATATCTCACCTCAGCTAGAACAGTCTGCTCCATTAAATATCTTACCTCAGCTAGAACAGTTTGCTCCATTAAATATCTCACCTCAGCTAGAACAGTCTGCTCCATTAAATATCTCACCTCAGCTAGAACAGTTTGCTCCATTAAATATCTTACATCAGCTAGAACAGTATGCTCTAAATATCTCACCTCAGCTAGAACAGTTTGCTCCATTAAATATCTTACCTCAGCTAGAACAGTCTGCTCCATTAAATATCTCACCTCAGCTAGAACAGTTTGCTCCATTAAATATCTTACCTCAGCTAGAACAGTTTGCTCCATTAAATATCTCACCTCAGCTAGAACAGTTTGCTCCATTAAATATCTTACCTCAGCTAGAACAGTATGCTCCATTAAATATCTTACATCAGCTAGAACAGTATGCTCTAAATATCTCACCTCAGCTAGAACAGTTTGCTCCATTAAATATCTCACCTCAGCTAGAACAGTCTGCTCCATTAAATATCTTACCTCAGCTAGAACAGTTTGCTCCATTAAATATCTCACCTCAGCTAGAACAGTTTGCTCCATTAAATATTTTACCTCAGCTAGAACAGTATGCTCTAAATATCTTACCTCAGCTAGAACAGTTTGCTCCATTAAATATCTCACCTCAGCTAGAACAGTCTGCTCCATTAAATATTTTACCTCAGCTAGAACAGTATGCTCTAAATATCTTACCTCAGCTAGAACAGTTTGCTCCATTAAATATCTTACCTCAGCTAGAACAGTCTGCTCCATTAAATATCTTACCTCAGCTAGAACAGTTTGCTCCATTGAATATCTTACCTCAGCTAGAACAGTTTGCTCCATTAAATATCTCACCTCAGCTAGAACAGTTTGCTCCATTAAATATCTTACCTCAGCTAGAACAGTTTGCTCCATTAAATATCGTACCTCAGCTAGAACAGTTTGCTCCATTAAATATCTTACCTCAGCTAGAACAGTTTGCTCCATTAAATATCTTACCTCAGCTAGAACAGTTTGCTCCATTAAATATCGTACCTCAGCTAGAACAGTTTGCTCCATTAAATATCTTACCTCAGCTAGAACAGTTTGCTCCATTGAATATCTTACCTCAGCTAGAACAGTTTGCTCCATTAAATATCTTACATCAGCTAGAACAGTATGCTCTAAATATCTCACCTCAGCTAGAACAGTTTGCTCCATTAAATATCGTACCTCAGCTAGAACAGTTTGCTCCATTAAATATCTTACCTCAGCTAGAACAGTTTGCTCCATTAAATATCTCACCTCAGCTAGAACAGTCTGCTCCATTAAATATTTTACCTCAGCTAGAACAGTATGCTCTAAATATCTTACCTCAGCTAGAACAGTTTGCTCCATTAAATATCTCACCTCAGCTAGAACAGTCTGCTCCATTAAATATTTTACCTCAGCTAGAACAGTATGCTCTAAATATCTTACCTCAGCTAGAACAGTTTGCTCCATTAAATATCTTACCTCAGCTAGAACAGTCTGCTCCATTAAATATCTTACCTCAGCTAGAACAGTTTGCTCCATTGAATATCTTACCTCAGCTAGAACAGTTTGCTCCATTAAATATCTCACCTCAGCTAGAACAGTTTGCTCTATTAAATATCTTACCTCAGCTAGAACAGTATGCTCCATTAAATATCGTACCTCAGCTAGAACAGTCTGCTCCATTAAATATCTCACCTCAGCTAGAACAGTTTGCTCCATTAAATATTTTACCTCAGCTAGAACAGTATGCTCTAAATATCTTACCTCAGCTAGAACAGTTTGCTCCATTAAATATCTTACCTCAGCTAGAACAGTCTGCTCCATTAAATATCTTACCTCAGCTAGAACAGTTTGCTCCATTGAATATCTTACCTCAGCTAGAACAGTTTGCTCCATTAAATATCTCACCTCAGCTAGAACAGTTTGCTCCATTAAATATCTTACCTCAGCTAGAACAGTTTGCTCCATTAAATATCGTACCTCAGCTAGAACAGTTTGCTCCATTAAATATCTTACCTCAGCTAGAACAGTTTGCTCCATTAAATATCTTACCTCAGCTAGAACAGTTTGCTCCATTAAATATCGTACCTCAGCTAGAACAGTTTGCTCCATTAAATATCTTACCTCAGCTAGAACAGTTTGCTCCATTGAATATCTTACCTCAGCTAGAACAGTTTGCTCCATTAAATATCTTACATCAGCTAGAACAGTATGCTCTAAATATCTCACCTCAGCTAGAACAGTTTGCTCCATTAAATATCGTACCTCAGCTAGAACAGTTTGCTCCATTAAATATCTTACCTCAGCTAGAACAGTTTGCTCCATTAAATATCTCACCTCAGCTAGAACAGTCTGCTCCATTAAATATTTTACCTCAGCTAGAACAGTATGCTCTAAATATCTTACCTCAGCTAGAACAGTTTGCTCCATTAAATATCTCACCTCAGCTAGAACAGTCTGCTCCATTAAATATTTTACCTCAGCTAGAACAGTATGCTCTAAATATCTTACCTCAGCTAGAACAGTTTGCTCCATTAAATATCTTACCTCAGCTAGAACAGTCTGCTCCATTAAATATCTTACCTCAGCTAGAACAGTTTGCTCCATTGAATATCTTACCTCAGCTAGAACAGTTTGCTCCATTAAATATCTCACCTCAGCTAGAACAGTTTGCTCTATTAAATATCTTACCTCAGCTAGAACAGTATGCTCCATTAAATATCGTACCTCAGCTAGAACAGTCTGCTCCATTAAATATCTCACCTCAGCTAGAACAGTTTGCTCCATTAAATATCGTACCTCAGCTAGAACAGTTTGCTCCATTAAATATCTTACCTCAGCTAGAACAGTTTGCTCCATTAAATATCTCACCTCAGCTAGAACAGTTTGCTCCATTAAATATCGTACCTCAGCTAGAACAGTCTGCTCCATTAAATATCTTACCTCAGCTAGAACAGTTTGCTCCATTAAATATCGTACCTCAGCTAGAACAGTCTGCTCCATTAAATATCGTACCTCAGCTAGAACAGTCTGCTCCATTAAATATCTTACCTCAGCTAGAACAGTTTGCTCCATTAAATATCGTACCTCAGCTAGAACAGTCTGCTCCATTAAATATCTTACCTCAGCTAGAACAGTCTGCTCCATTAAATATCTTACCTCAGCTAGAACAGTTTGCTCCATTGAATATCTTACCTCAGCTAGAACAGTTTGCTCCATTAAATATCTCACCTCAGCTAGAACAGTTTGCTCCATTAAATATCTTACCTCAGCTAGAACAGTATGCTCCATTAAATATCGTACCTCAGCTAGAACAGTCTGCTCCATTAAATATCTCACCTCAGCTAGAACAGTTTGCTCCATTAAATATCTTACCTCAGCTAGAACAGTTTGCTCCATTAAATATCTTACCTCAGCTAGAACAGTATGCTCCATTAAATATCGTACCTCAGCTAGAACAGTTTGCTCCATTAAATATCTTACCTCAGCTAGAACAGTTTGCTCCATTAAATATCTCACCTCAGCTAGAACAGTTTGCTCCATTAAATATCGTACCTCAGCTAGAACAGTCTGCTCCATTAAATATCTTACCTCAGCTAGAACAGTTTGCTCCATTAAATATCGTACCTCAGCTAGAACAGTCTGCTCCATTAAATATCTTACCTCAGCTAGAACAGTTTGCTCCATTAAATATCTCACCTCAGCTAGAACAGTTTGCTCCATTAAATATCGTACCTCAGCTAGAACAGTCTGCTCCATTAAATATCTTACCTCAGCTAGAACAGTTTGCTCCATTAAATATCGTACCTCAGCTAGAACAGTCTGCTCCATTAAATATCGTACCTCAGCTAGAACAGTCTGCTCCATTAAATATCGTACCTCAGCTAGAACAGTCTGCTCCATTAAATATC